TCTCCCCTGGCCCTCGTTGTATCGACCGACTTGTGCTATCTAAATTGGGCGTGCGGTGTGGGCGAGGCAAGCCCGAGGTGAGCAGTGTTCTGGGGTTCAAATCAAGCCTCGAGAATGGAGAAGTTTGAGTTTCGTGACAGAGAAACAAACGAGTTATATGATGCTGGAATAGAAAGTCAGATGAAAGGATTGGATCGCTAAGAACAAATGCACGCAGTTATATGTCAGTGAAAACAGAAGTTCAGAATGATCAAAAAGGGGCTCACAGCCGATGAGGTAAAATCGATGCTGATCCGTTGAAACCCTGCTGACAGGATTATTATGGGTGGCTCCCGTCCAAGGTATAGCATCTTGCCAATTACTCCTCGCCCAAACTAGCTCTCACACATTGTCGTGCCCTCCGCTTGAATGCCTTCTCATCTTCGCGCAAGAGCTTGGCCGCCTCCACGTTCGCGGGACTCTCGTCGTTAGGACTTCCGAGCATGCTTATCACACTGATCAAGATAGTCTCAGGCGTCTGGACGGGTGACCAACGCTCGGCTGCGGATTCGTATCCCCATCTATCTTCCCCGGGGGCGTGAAGGATCGATATACAGACTTCGCCGGATGGATACACTGAATCAAAGTTCGGAGATGTCAGCCTGAAACCTCCTAATATTGAGAGCGTGTCTGATCGGTGGTAGGACGAACCGTTGGGATGGAAGATTGGGGTCTCAAATTTCATCTTGGGTGGAAGGAGAGGATACTCCGGTGGGAACGTCAATATAGCTTTGAAGAAACCGCCTGTCAAGATTGCCGGCAGGTATCCAGCGCATGTCAGTCATATAGTTCTCCTTTTGTGTAGAATCCAGGCCTGCGCAGTAAGCTGCGCCGACAGCGCAACAATGGCGGGTAGACGTAGTTGGCTCGATTCGCACCTCCATAATACTTCATATCGTCTGATAGCATCAGCATAACCTCCCATTCGAAAACGTTGTCGTCATTGACAAGGCCACAGCTGATTCCTGGCAAGTCCTTGTCGTTTTGCATTTGTTTGAGCTGCCTCGCGAGCAGGACTGCGGCGCCAGACATTTTGTCTTATCTTCTTTGTTGTCAGTGAATCTGAGGCTATTCTGCAACGGCTCGAGCTGCAAAGGCAGAGTCTTTCCGAGCTGCAACCTTGATGGTATGCTTAGATACGAAATCTGTGTTTTGTCTGGGGTCGTTTGATCCGAAGAAGGGGTGGAGGGGTATGAGCTTCCGTTTGCAGCTCACCAAGAGCGCGCAGCTTCTGAGCACAGATTGACGCAGCAAAGACACCCTGATCGACTTCAAGGCTGAGCTAGTTCTATGCCCAAAGATGAGTCCTGTAGCGAGCGCGCTTGTGGTGAAGGCAGGATTGGGTCTCAAGTTGTATGGCGTAGGTGAGGTTGAAGCTGCGGTTTTCTTGGCGCCAAAATTGGCTTTGACGGCGATGACGTCGCTTACGAGGTCCCCACGCTTGGAGGGAGATGAAGAGCACAGGAACGAGGTAGGTATGAATCAAGACATTCAGTCGATACGGAGAAAATGACTCTATAGTAAAGAGATAGGACAGAGGTACTTTCGACCAGAGCAATTGTGAATAACAGTGGATGTCAAAGATTCAGGAGTTCAGAAAAGAATGTGTATGGTTGGTACATAGGGACGGACATGCAAGTTGGATACATGGAAGCGGGTGTATGCCTCAAGGCGGTTGTGAAAGGAATGATTGATGATGATCAGAACCGTGAGGGTTGGGGGTTAGCAAGTCATGGTCCCCTCAGACCGTCATCTCACCATGTGGACCCCCTGGCTTGCCTTCAGCAATCAATGTGACTGCAGTAACGATGGTAACAAGTTTCGCGATATATAGAAGTCCAACAATGCCATAGGCCTTGATGATGCGGCATCTTGCAGACCAGTTGCAGCTCTTCCATGCGTCAAGAACACCAATGGTCTCTCCCTCCTCAATCATTCCGTCGAACGTAGGATCAAATGGAAGGAGCATCTCCTCTGGCTCCTGCTGCGCAGTGAACAGATATCCCCTGATTTTGGAGAATTTGGTGGACTCAGGCAGATCGCTGGGCTCAGTGAGAGAGACGCGCCCTTGAAGTTGCAGATTTTTCGCGGCGAACATGGACGCCGAGACACGTACCTTAGAGACAGTCGCTGGGATCACAAGAAGGAAATTCAACATCCCAACAAGACCGAGATAGGTGACGAGGGGCATGTAATTATCGAGACCAAGGTTAGGTGCTTGAGAAAAATCCTCTCCGTACCATGCCAAAACGAGGTTCACAGAAAGGAAGGTTGTTGTGCTTTCGGCCAAGCTGCATACAAGAACGGAAATCGTGGCTTTCCTCATGGTCGGTGAGCAGGGCCTCTCAATGGCGAAGACACGCTTGAAGATGTTCTTCTTGTTCTCCTTTGAGATCAGGGAGTGAATGAAGGCCACATGCCATCTTGTCAAAACAACGTCGGCAAGTACAACGGCAAAAACCGAGATCATGTCTGGGAGGAACCACGCGAAGAAACCTGTCACAAAGGATCGCAACATAGTCATCCCAACGTACTTCGGGAGACAACGGAATGCACTAGCACCATTCTTGAAAAGGCAGTCGAGGGTTCTAGAGAGAGATGAAGTGACGAGCTTGCGGGGCTCTGAAGTACCGGACTCAAGATGGGGAACATCGACTTGGCCCTTCTCGTTGACGACTGTGTCCTTTGGAGACGTCTGGTTCAATGTAGGGGGGGGATAAGGGTCCTCGACCATGGCCAGAGTCGAGATAACATGGGTGTAGGTGTATTCAAGCTGTTAAGAGGGATCATTGTTAGCATAAATCATTGTCGGCCGGATTCCTCGTCCAAGTCAGCTTTCTTGACACATACCAGACCATAGACAATCAAGAGACCGATGCTTGAGATTCCAACAAACACGTCGAAGCCCGTAAACTCGGGCATCTCCTCGGTCGCCCTCCTAACTAACTGATACATCTCTGAAGATGCGGTTGATGGTGTATGGCAAGGGTGATAGAGCGATGAGCGATTGTTGCTGACTGAAAAATGAGTGATTTGGTTCTCCGTCGATAAAAGGAGGATTGCAAGCCGGGGTTCCGTTTCGTGCGGATGGTCCTCTTTATATGAGATTCCTGACTCGGCGATCGTGCACCTTGATCCCTTTCGCGGTTGTTTCACGATTATATTAGGCAGACTATCCGCACTCTTTGCGCTTAATAGGGTGTCAGATTCTACTACGACGTTGTGCATTGTGGCGCTGCTGCCTGGTCGTACGATGGCCCCGTGTGAGCGTCGCCCGTGCACTGTCAGTGGCTATGTACAGTGCGAACCCCTTTTTTTGAAAAAATCAGCGTTGATAGTCTAAGGGTAAGATACGACATTCCCAATGTCGTGACCCGGGTTCGAGTCCCGGTCGACGCATCTTCTTTTTTTTTCTTCTTTCCCCTTTTTACCCCTTTTTCTACATGTCATTTTACACCATGCTGGGAAAATGTACTCAGCTTGTTTGATTGTTGCAGCATTTCAAAAGATAATATTAGATTCGGGTCAGGACGCAATCTGATGTTTTAATCTGTACACGACAAAAGGTAGGATGCATGATCTGAAAGACGTATTGAACAACATCGAAAACGATGAAAATGAAGAAAGGGCGCATATTGCGAGGGACGGAGATTAATCGTTGAAGCCCACACAAGAGATGCTCGATCTCAGGTCTCTGTCTTGAGTGATCAGATCAATCGAACTCGGGAGGCGTGCAGGTCACACGAGAGTATGTTGCTGGACAGCACAACGTGGTAACATTCTGCCAATGACATGCTTCATCTGATGCCAATTAGTATCTTTCATTTGAAAGGGTTGATTGGAGACGGCTCCTGCACTTACATTGGAAGTTGGTGATGAGCTTCCGTGCCGTCAGATATAAGGCGTTGAAAAACATGAGGGGATATCTCGGCCCTCCAAACATTAATTGTCATCATCGTCGTCGTCGTCGTCGTCCTCCTCCTCCTCCTCGTCCTCGTCCTCCTCTGAGCCTGAGCCTGAACCGGAGCTAGACTCGTCATCGTCGTCTTCGACGTCGTTGTTGTTATTTTCGACTTCCTCCTTGGCCTTGCCAGTCTCGCCCTTCAACTTGTGGAGGAACTCGGACCAGCCTCCGCTTTTGCCTGCTCTGCCCATGATGGCTTTGAATGTTGTGAAGAAGAACTTGTGATGGCTGTGTTTGTGGGAGAATGATTTGCTCGACCGAACAATAGGGAGGTTCTTCAGAGCGAAATGTCTCAATGTCTTTGGAATTTGAGGGAATGAAGACTTCCAAAAGATCAAGAGGACATGACTAGCAGGAGCTCTATATATCCTTTCTCCAGCTTCAACACTGCCACTCCTTTGCACCAAGCCAACCCCATCTTAGAATTGGTCGTCAATTTGACGCCTCACCAAGTGTCTTTTTGGAGCCATTGCCGACACTGAATTTGGAATCCATTTGAAATGATCCGCACGATTTGCCTGATGAATCTGACATGCATCAATGACCTGATAAGCTCCCTGTCCTGACGCGTCCATATCCAGTGCCGCCAACATTGTCCTTGCCCATCCCCCACTTCATTCCTTTGTACCTCTTCCCCTACCTGTATGTACCGCTTCCCTATAGATCTCCAGTCATCCTCACGGACAGAACAGCAACCACCACCACCACCACCACCATCACAACAACAACCTGTTCAAGGAAAGACCGATCGATCGAGTATCTAGCCTTCAAAGTGAA